TAAATAATTAAAACTATAGAAGGGTGTTATCCCTCATAGGAATAATAACTTACGACAGCTATAATTTTCATGTCAATTGGGGAGGGGAAGTTCCACCCCCCCCCCAACACGCCCTTCCAACGCTACAGAACCCCTCCCCCCCCCCCCCCCCACCTCTTAGCTCTCCCTCTTCTATCAAACTGATATCACGAAATCAATTAAATGCAATCATTGGATCTATTTAACAAATGGGCCTATATGTTTCAAAAACTAAACCCTTTTTAAAAATTATTTCTAATCTTTTATTTCGTTGTCTTTCATTATCTACGTTTGTATTGGGGGAAAATATAAACAGTGATAACATTCATTATTCTCTTACAGTTGCCTATTACGTGTTTGTTTTGTTCAAGTGCTCACGGTGTTGTTTAAAAGAAAAGAAAATAATTTGTTCAGCAAAAAAAAAAAAAAAAAGTTTTTTAAAGCAAATATTTTCAGTGGCAGCATTGGTACTGTCGAATTCACAAATTATGAATTACTGAAAAGTAGAAAATAAAACAACTAAATAGCTGCGTATGATACGCCGCGGGTCGGCTCGTAATAGTTATTGTATCTGAGTGGAAAGGTATTGGTCTCGTAACCGCGTATTTCATTTGACATGTATGTACATTACATACCCCAAAAGAGAACTGTAACCCAGTAAATGAGAGAAGTTATGACACAATCTTCAAGACAGTATACGACCCAACTCCAAAAGCAACTTACACAAACATATGACTCTACACTATTTCCAGAAAAATTATGACAACCTAACATAACCTTGTCATAACCTTCTATAAAACCTATTACACAATCCACCCTACATCCTATTACACAACCTTCCTTAAAGTTGTAACACAACCGTCCATACACCCTATAACACAACCTTCCATACACCCTATAACACAACCGTCCATACACCCTATAACACAACCTTCCATACACCTTATAACACAACCTTCCATACACCCTATAACACAACCTTCCATACACCTTATAACACAGCATTCCATACACCCAATTACACAACCTTCCATACACCCTATAACACAACCTTCCATACCACATATGAAACAACCTTCCATACACCCTATAACACAACCTTCCATACCACATATGAAACAACCTTCCATACACCCTATAACAGAACCTTCCATACACCCTATGACACAACCTTCCATACACCCTATTACACAACCTTCCATACACCCTATAACACAACCTTCCATACACCTATAACACAACCTTCCATACACCTCATAACACAACCTTCCATACACCCTATAACACAACGTTCAATACACCTTATAACACAACCGTCCATACACCTTATAACAGAACCTTCCATACACCTTATAACACAACCTTCCATACACCTTATAACACAACCTTCCATACACCTTATAACACAACCTTCCATACACCTCATAACACAACCTTCCATACACCTTATAACACAGCATTCCATACAACCAATTACACAACCTTCCATACACCCTTTTACACGACCTTCCATACCACCTATTACACAACCTCCATACACCCTATTACACAACCTTCCATACACCCTATTACACAACCTTCCATACACCCTATTACACAACCTTCCATACACCCATAACACAACCTTCCATACACCCTATTACACAACCTTCCATACACCCATAACACAACCTTCCATACACCCATAACACAACCTTCCATACACCCATAACACAACCTTCCATACACCCATAACACAACCTTCCATACACCCATAACACAACCTTCCATACACCCATAACACAACCTTCCATACACCCATAACACAACCTTCCATACACCCATAACACAACCTTACATACACTCTATGCTATGACACAACCTCCCATAGGGTTAAGACAACCACCACCACAGCCCAGCTTAGCCCATAGATCGTGCAGTTCTCAACTCAACCAATTTCTCCACGTCATGTCAACATGACCTCTATTATCTCACGGCGTGTATTGAGGGGAGTGGTAGGCAAAACCAACAAACTACAATCACGTGACACATAATGATCATTATTTATCCCCCAAGACAGGTAACAGACCTAGTTATTTTAACAAAATAACAGGATGAATCACAACAATGACACCCTACCAACATGCTAGAGCCATAAGCTCATGATACCAGCTTTTAGTTGGGCCGTGAGAATTTTTTTTGCTACGATATTTTGGTTTAGAGCATTGAGTTTAAGTGCCCCATGCAGTGTTGTTTACTATCAGACGTGTATTTTTGTTGTATAATGTTTTCTACGAACACCAGCAGTAAACTTTACCCATAGATAACCAATGGTAACCAAGTAAAAAAAAATTAAATTTTGAATGGATGTTTGGAATGGTTTCAAAATAATGTATGTTTTGAAACAGGATATTATTATACAACATTATATTTTTTAACTTTTATATTAAAACAAAAAAAACTTACATTCGATTTAAATTCCGTCCAAAAAGAATAAGTCATT